GTCCATGGCTTCACGCCATTTTTCCCTGTGTTCCCCCCCCAGAGCCTGCTGAACCGTCGCAGGCTCCTTAGGAAGAGTGTTGCCGTGGACTGCGGTGACGAGTCCGAGAATCTGCAGTCCAGTCTGTGAGTAGCGGGGAAGAGTTGCATCCTCGGGATAAGCTGCTTCATCTCCCGCTTCTGGATCAGGTATGAAATTCGGTCCTACTCGTTCTGCTTCGTTGGTGTTGACTGTCGCAGGTGTTACGTAACCGTTGTCGGCGAAGTAGTAGAAGGTTTCGGCGTTGACACTTTCGCGAGGGTTATCTTCGTCCATGGGGACGTCGACGGAGCAGAACGGAAGGGGTCCAGCTTCTTCTGGTGCGTTGGCCACATTCTGCTCGTCCCAGTCAGCTTCGTCTGCTGCCGAGGCGAAGGCTCGGTCACCACGAAAACCACCTGTGGGATCTTGGTCCTCTTGCAGGTTGGCAAGGTATGTCTGGAGCGTGAGTCGTTCGTAGAAAATGACGTCGCGTGCTGCTACTGTTTCCTTGGAGTGGACGTCAAAGATTTTCCACGCGTTGTAGTTCTTTTCGATGCCGAGGTGTAGTCCCCACTGTGCGCGTTGTGAAAATCGGCCCGCTCGTGCTGCTGGGGGTCGGTACTGTACCATGCATCCGAACACTCGTAACATTTTTGTGCTGCCCTGTTTTCCTGTCCACAGCAGATGCGGTGATGCGTTGTTCGGTAGTGATGAAGATGAGAGCAAGTTGTGCAGCATGACAGCGTGGTCCATCGCGTCAGGCCACTGGTGGTTGGGTAGCCGCATGCCACGCAACAGTTTGCGCATGCTGTTCTGCAGAGTCCTGTTCATTCTTTCTGCTACACCTTCCTGCTGATGGGCGTAGGGAAGAGAGAGGAGCTGCTTGATTCCCCTTTCCGCCAGGTACTGCTTGAATTGCTGAGAGGTGTATTCTCCTCCTCCGTCAGACTGGAAGCTTTTCAGCTTTACGCCCGACTCTCTTTCTGCTACTGGTAGCCAAGCAGCGAATGCTTCGAGGACCATGTCGCGGCTGGGTAGGTTTAGATGCCAGACGTAACGGGTGGCGGCGTCGATGAAGGTGATTGTGTAGTTGTATATTACTTGTCCTGGTTCCCGATTGTACAGGATGTCGCTATACACCTTTTCGAGTGGTGCGTACGCGGGTGTGCTCGGGTTGTGATGAGGAGTGAACGGCCGATGTGGTAAGTCGGCTTCGGGGCAGGTAAGACATGTTCCTCGTGCCCGTTGAAGTTCTCTGCCGTCGAGTAGTAGTAACGAGTCCTTGTCAAGGACTCCTGCTCTTATTGTGTTGTTTAACACAGTGTTGCTTGGGTGTCCCATGCGTGCGTGCCAGATGTCTTCGGAGGCGCGGTGTCCGGGTGAGCGTCGATACGCGTCGGAGTTGGAGTAGAAGCTGGCGGTGAAGTTTGCGCTTCTATGGACTTCCCGTTGAGCCGGATTCAGCTGCTGTGCGGGTGTTGGTGGTGCTTCGTCAACGAGGAGTGGTGTCATTGTTGCTGCTACTGTTGTTGTTCCTGCTACTGCCGATGATGTCTCTGCTGCTGCCAATGATGTCTCTGCTGCTGCCGATGTTGTCTCTGCTGCTGCCGATGTTGTCTCTGCTGCTGCCGATGTTGTCTCTGCTGCTGCCGATGTTGTCTCTGCTGCTGCCGATGTTGTCTCTGTTGCTGCCGATGTTGTCTCTGCTGCTGCCGAATGTTGTATTGTTACTAACGCACGTGTTCGTTCTGCTTCAGGAATGGTATGTGAATACCAAAAGCCTTCCGGACTGAAGTCGGGGTCGAGATCCGGCGGGTGCGTCCAAGATGTGAAGGTGACGATCCCGTCACTGTCTGCGGTGCCCAGGTCTGGGACGAAATCGAGAACGAAGACATTGTTCTTCAGGACCGCCTTTCCGATGTAGAGGCCGCCCTTCCCGTGGTACAGCTTGAACTCGTGGGTGGTACTGTCGGCTTCCAGATGTATGCCTTTCGCCATCAACTGACTGACGCTCAGTAAGTTGTAGCCAAGTCCTTCTGCTATTAGGACTTTGGACATTTGCAGTATGACATTCGTCTCTCGTGACTGAAGTTGCACTACTCCTTGTCGTCGTGTGCGCAGGTTCTGATTATTGGCGACAGTGATGACGACTTCTCGTTGAAGTTGGTGCTCGCGTTGAACGAAACGTCCTGAAGAGCACATATGTTGTCCGCAGCAACTGTCCAAGAACCATGTATCCTTCCCGGACGGCTCGCTTTGAGCGATGGCGGCGTACGTCGGGTTCGGTTGAAGTGACTCGCGGCGAGGCGTGCTGTTGTCGAGTTGTTCTTCTGGTGAGTAATATGGTGGTGACTCAGTTACGCAGGAGTCACTCAGCCTTGCCATGCAGCTGACGATGTTTCTTGTTCCTTTCGCAGGTTGTCCCGTCGATGTTGTTGAGACTTGTACTGAAGTTGTCGGATTTGCTTGCGTTGAGGCGACTTGACTGCTTGAAGGGCGAAGTTGGCGTTGCGGCGACGTTGACTGTTGTCGATTCGGGCAGTGCGTACGAGGATGCCCTGAAGTCTTGCAGAGGTGGCAGAACGGAGGTACGATTTTCGGTCGATTGTTGTTGTTGTTGTGGCGCCGTTGAGTGTGAAACGCGAATTCGGGCACTGATACCTTTCTCTTGTGTCGTTCTTCTTGCAGCTCCATGTCTTGCTGCTCGGCGTGGATTTCGGCGCAAAGTGCTGCTTCAGAAATTTTCCCGTGGGCTCGTAGTATGGCGCGAGTGGAGCGCCAGTGAGGACCAAGACCGCCGATGACAACCGGGACGAAGGCGTCCTCTGAAATCGATCCTCCACATCGAAGAAGCTTGTCGCGCAGCTCGCGGCAGCGACTGATATACGCCATTCCCTTCTGCGCCATTAACCGACTTTGGTTTACGCTGTCTGTTGCTTGATACAGGCTCGTCAAGTGATTGTACGCGAGCTCCGCGGAGTTGCCGTAGCCTCGGTAAGACCGTATGTTTTGTTGTTGAGTTGGAGTGATGTTCCTCAGTAGTATCGTGTACGCCATCATCGATTGATAGGTGTACTGCTGCTTCTCATACTGTGTGCCGTTTGTTGGGTATGGCAGGGACCCGTCGAAGAAGCCAAGGATTTGCGCTCCTTCCATCATCAGCTCGAATTCGAACGACCAGGTAAAGAAATCCTTCCCGTCGAAGGGTTTTGTCGTTTGCAGTTTTAGAACGTGCGCGAACTGCGACTGAACTTGTAGTGCGTCCAGCGTTCTCTCTTGTCCCGGTGCAGGTTGTGGTTGTGGCATGAAGCTGACGGAGCCGCGCTGGGGCTCGTACGGCTGTTGTTGATTCCCGCGTGCGTAGGATGAGCCATCGAGACTCATGGGCGTCACGTTGTTGTTGTTGTTGCTGTTGTTTGATTGCGCAGGTGCTCCTTGCTGATGCTGCTCGTAGAAGGACATGAAGGAGAAGAACTTCTCCATCATGCTTGGATCGAAGCCCGCGCCTTGGTTTGCGGGTGTTTCAGTAGACCCAGCTGCCGGTCTCGTTGTTGTGCCTTCCTCTGTCTGTAGGCCAGAGGCAGGAGGTGGAGTAGGAGTAGTACCAGGAGAGCCGTTGGAGGAGCTCCTCTCCTTTCTGGTAGACATGTCTCTTGGTGTATTAGGTGTTAAGGAGAAATAATTTTAACCCTAACCAGCTCTCATACCATGTTGGGCTGAGTGCCCCTTAGGATCTTTGGTAGGGTTAAACTCTGGGTAGAGTGATGTAGTAGCGGAAGCGTTTAAATGAAGTCCTTGAACCACCTTGCGCTGGTATGTGAGGGCAAAGTAAGTTGATTAAAACAAGCAAGTACAAAGGTTTATATAAGAGTACAAAGAATACGAAGAGATATAATTAAACTGTTTTACTGTTGCGGTTCGATACAGTGCGACTCGGGCAACTGCTCAATGTCGAGTCAGTTGTGTGTCCTTGCTGTCGCGCTGCATTTGTCAAGTCAAAGGTCGCTGACCTTTGACTTTCGCGTAACCTCCAGCGGTTACTTCAACCTCCGAGGGTTGACTCGCTGGTGCCTCGATATGCTCTGCTTCGCTTGTGCCTTGGTGTTTCGACACGACAGAGGCGCTTAAGATTGTTTGTTCCCAACACTTCCTTGGCCAACTCCCTCTCTTCCTAAAACCTACCGTATTCTCCCGGACATAGCACCCTAGGGTATAGCTAAAAATACAGGGAAAAAATGGGGGGGGTCTCCTCATAGGAAAAAAATACATAATACCCGGGTCTTTACATATGGTATATTTTAGTGTTAGTGTTTATTTAATTAGACAATGTGGGAGTTTTGATTTTCATTTTAACATCACTGTCTGAGGCGCGAATGTGGGTTTCGGCCACGAGCTTCATCACCCCCACGAAAATGCCATGTGGCACCTCTCTTGCCACTTGCAGCGGAAGATTCGCCTGCACGTGGTCACAGCGAAGTAGTGCGAGGGGGGAAATCTCGGTAGATTGTAAGTGAATGTACCGCGAAATTTCATCTAGGGAGAAATTTTCGCGATATTCTTCAATATTGCAGCTACTCGTTAACGACTATTATAACGAATTCGTAAGAAAAGGGGGGTGTTATAGAAAATCAGCAAAAAAGGGGGGTATAGTAGAAACGAGGCTCCCCATAACACCCACCCCGCACAAGCTACCCGGGGGTGTACAATTATGGGGGGGTGTTTTGTCCGGGAGAATACGGTAAGTTTCTCCTCTAGCCACTATTCTGACAGCTGCAATATGAACCCTGTGGTATCTTGAATTCACCAACTACAGTTGGTAGATTACAGGCAAACTGGAAAAGACCGTCGTGACAGCTCAGAGTGTTGCCGCCACATGCCCTGAAAAGACCCCTGACCTTCCATTCTAGGGGCTACACAGGTTTCTCCAAGGGACGGGCTTGCAGCCTTTTCGTTGCATCAAACCAATCAGAGCCGCTGCCCTATCTCCCAACGCTTTTCTGCGCAGCCCGAGCCTCCACCTCAGCTTCGGCAGCAGCAGCCTCGAGCTGAGCCCCCATGGCTTCAAGGCCTGCCAGCATGTGAGCGCGCTCCTCCTGCTGCACCTCCTCCACCGCACTGCACCGCACTGCAGCGGGCTGGCGCCCCTCTCGAATGGCCCGGCGCCACTCCTGCACCGCCCGCTCCTCCTCCTCCTGCTCCGCGCGCACAAACTCTGCCTGGGGGTGGGAGTGTGGGGGAGAGGGAGGAGGAGAGGGGGCAGGGGTGAGCAGATGAAGGGTTGTGGAGGTCAGGGGACATGCACAAGGAGGTGATGACATGCACAAGGAGGTGATGACATGCACAAGGAGGTGATGCCATGCACAAGGAGGTGATGCCATGCACAAGGAGGTGATGACGTGGACAGCCAAACAGTGGAAACGGGGGACAGAGCTGGGGAACATGGAGGAATCAGCTAGGGTTGAGCCCAACACGACAAGGCATCCCAAAACAGGAGAGGGATGTGAATGCAAGCACGGGGAAGGGAGGGGAATGAGGGGAGGCGAGGAAGAGAGAGTGGAGTGGAGAACCAGCGCCAGCACAGCGCCTCTCACCTTCCAATGGAGCACTCAGATGCTGCCACACACAGCAGATCAATGCATCACCTCACATCACATCACATCACATCACATCACATCACATCACATCACATCACATCACATCACATCACCTCACGTCACGTCACGTCACGTCACGTCACGTCACGTCACGTCACGTCACGTCACGTCACGTCACGTCACGTCACGTCACGTCACGTCACCTCACCTCACCTCACCTCACCTCACCTCACCTCACCTCACCTCACCTCACCTCACCTCACATCACATCACATCACATCACATCACATCACATCACATCACATCACATCACATCACCTCACCTCACCTCACCTCACCTCACCTCACCTCACCTCACCTCACCTCACCTCACCTCACCTCACCTCACCTCACATCACCTCACCTCACATCACATCACATCACATCACATCACATCACCTCACCTCACCTCACCTCACATCACATCACATCACATCACATCACATCACATCACATCACATCACCTCACCTCACATCACATCACATCACCTCACATCACATCACATCACATCACATCACATCACATGACCTCACCTCACCTCACCTCACGTCACGTCACGTCACGTCACGTCACGTCACGTCACGTCACCTCACCTCACCTCACCTCACCTCACCTCACCTCACCTCACCTCACCTCACCTCACCTCACCTCACCTCACCTCACCTCACATCACATCACATCACATCACATCACATCACATCACATCACATCACATCACCTCACCTCACCTCACCTCACCTCACCTCACCTCACCTCACATCACCTCACCTCACCTCACCTCACCTCACCTCACCTCACCTCACCTCACCTCACATCACATCACATCACATCACATCACATCACATCACCTCACCTCACCTCACATCACATCACATCACATCACATCACATCACATCACATCACATCACATCACATCACATCACATCACATCACCTCACATCACATCACATCACATCACCTCACCTCACATCACATCACATCACATCACATCACATCACATCACCTCACCTCACCTCACATCACATCACATCACATCACATCACATCACATCACATCACATCACATCACATCACCTCACCTCACATCACATCACATCACCTCACATCACATCACATCACATCACATCACATCACATCACATCACATCACATCACATGACCTCACCTCACCTCACGTCACGTCACGTCACGTCACGTCACGTCACGTCACGTCACGTCACGTCACGTCACGTCACGTCACGTCACCTCACATCACATGACATCACATCACATCACCTCACCTCACCTCACATCACATCACATCACATCACATCACATCACATCACCTCACCTCACATCACATCACATCACATCACATCACATCACATCACCTCACCTCACCTCACCTCACCTCACCTCACCTCACCTCACCTCACATCACATCACATCACATCACATCACATCACATCACCTCACCTCACATCACATCACATCACATCACATCACATCACATCACATCACATCACATCACATCACATCACATCACCTCACATCACATCACATCACATCACATCACATCACATCACCTTGCATCACTGCTCACCTCCACGGCATCTCTCGCGTGGCGCTTGCTCAATCCCTGCTGCATCAGCTCCAGCTGCCGCCATGCAAACCGCCTCGCCACTGGCGGGTCAAAGCCCTGCAGCCTGCACAGGGTTGCGATGCAGTGAGATGGGGTGACGTGGGGTGACATGGGGGTACGTGGGGTGAGATGCGGTGAGATGGGGTGAGATGGGCTGTCACGGTGGAGGTGATTGGGCGATGGGGTCAGTACAATGAGAGAGAAGCACCGGTAGCGTCTCACCGGTATGCCTGCAGCTTGGCCTCGGGGTGTCTTGCATAATACGACTCCACCAGAGGGTCCTCTGGGAACTCTATCCTCCGCGCCTTGGGGCAGCGCCGCGCCTTGGGCTGTGGAGGCACTCTGAGGGGCGCGGGGGAGAGAGGCGGATGGGGAGAAGCGGAGGGGGAAGGAGGGGAGGCAAAGAGAGGGGGAATGGGGGATGGGCGGGAGGAAGGGCAGCTAGAGATGATCCTGAAGGAGGTTCGGCGGTGGAATGGGGACTGGTGGAATGGGGACTGGTGGGACCTGCTCGCTGGGGTGCACTACACGCCCAGGAGGGCACATTGCGGCCGCGCTGGCACCTCATCCTTCCACCGGCGCGCGCGGCTCGGCTGGCTGCTGGGCGAGCAGTCCCCGCGTCGAGGTTGATTGCTCACGCGAAACGAGTCGCAGGACGACCGCGCGCCCCTCCATGCAGCCCCACCTGAGCGTCCCCACACGGTGATGGACTCACAACTCCCCCCTCTTGCTCCGCCCCTCCCAGTCCCCCCACCTCATTTCCCTTCCCCCCATCCCCCCACCCCTCCTTCCCCCTCCCTCGCCCCCCCCATCCCCGCCACGCACTTGGAGAGCGCGTCGAGCCACTTGGGCGGGTCGACCACGCCGCCGCGCATCAGCAACCGCGCCTTCTGCAGCAGGTCGCCGCGCATAAACGACATCGCGCCGCGTGCCTCCACGCGGCTGGAGCTAGCGGGGGAAGGCCGGCGAGGGGGACGGCGCGCTGCGACGGGGCGATCGAGGTGGAGATCGAAAAGCTGCTGGCGGAAGCGGAAGCGGAGGCGCTTGCGGAGGGTGAATGCGCGTAGGCGTGGCGCGACGGCGGACGGAGATCGCGTGTAGGCGAGCAGCAGTCGAAGTTTCTGTTCGCGGAATCGCCACGGTGCTGGCTTAGTTCGTGCTGTACGCGCTAGCAGCAGCTTGAGGTTCTGTGGGTTGAAGACAGGTATTTCAGTATAGCATTACACCATGGGGTACACTGGCGACAGAATATTGGCAATCCCCGGTCTTTTGTGACCTGCTGTTATGAGTGCAATGGAGTGAGCGAGCGAGGATTGCACTATCGAGACAAGAATACAATGAGCGAAGGATTGAGCGAAGAATATGTAGCGAAGCTACAGTGATAATCGTAACGTGTGGAAAATGGGGTGCGCGACGGGCCTAGCGCTGAGGTTGGGGATTGTCGAGGCGGAGGACCAGAGCGCGGGAGGGATACCAACCGAACCGTGAGGGTGGGTCGCGTCGTGAACAATGGCAGGAATAGTGTCGAGGCGAATGTCGCGAGTGGTAACGGATTATTGTGGGGTGCTGTTGGCGGGAAACAGAGGTATACGCGCTGAGCAGGGACGCGAAGTAAGGAAAAGGAATTTTCCTCACACCTGCCTTGTTCAAAATGTGAAACGCTACAGTACAAAACCGTCTTAAGGTATGTCAATTTCCGGCTTTTGTGACCTGTCTTGTTTTTGCTGGAACAAATAATAAGGTTCTTGTTGGGCTGAATGCGTCTTGGAATAAGAAAAAACTCTGCCTAGGGATATGAGGAACTGGAACTCACCCAAAGTTGGCACTAAGACTGCCAGTTGAAACACTAATATTTTTCCTGCAGTTGGAAAAATGGAAAGGCAAGAATAGAATTTAGAATTTCCTTCAGGCTGCAGGCATGGCCCTCCCACTGCTTCACTCCTCCCTCCCCCTCCCCTTCCCTAAACCCTAAAAGCCGCCGTGCGCCTTACAGGAGGTGACACACACAGAATGCATCGTCTCGGCATTCCCTATGCCCCCGTATACATGCAGTCACCATTGATTCGCTACCGAGTGACCTCTAGCTAAGGCAATAAATGGTGCATCTCTAGTTTGAGAGCGGGCGAGCACCAGCAACAGAATGTGTGACTGGGAAGGCCTTTCAAGGCCGCGAGTGATCGTCAGCCACCCGCCAATTTGCCCGACAACCTGCCCGACAACTTGACCGCCACAACGTGCAGTGCGGCTACTTCTGCCAGTGCAAGCTGTCAGAATCCCAACCACTGGACAATTGGGATAAAAGGGCTTGTTAAGTAGCGGGTCAGTGCGCCCATAACCCCCAAGGACAACGAGCCTGTAACCCTTCCCTAGGATCAATCGGGGATCACCAGTGGACTTCTAACACCCTCTCTGCAATGGGATGCCCGAAGTGCACACATTGGGATTCGAACCCGAAACCTTCACTCTGATGCCATGTCAAAATCCCAACCACTAGACCATTGGGATAAAAGGGCTTGTTAAATAGCGGGTCAGTGCGCCCATTGTCAGAATACTAAACGAGAATGAATGAACTATGAAAGAGTTGGGTACAAGTACTAACCCTAATTGGGTTGTACCCCTTACGGGCTACCCCACTATAGCCTACACAAAGTAAGCACTATAACATTTTGACACACCCCTGTAGGCAAAGTGGGGGAAAAAAAGTGGTCACAAGACCATTCAACGAAAGCAAAGGCCACAAGGCCAGTTCACATGCAGAGTTATATAACAGAGAACAAACAGTACAGTGATCATACCCTAGCAAGTGTAAGCATGCAAATATATATATATATACATATATATATATATATCACAGTACAAGCAAAGTTGTGCAGTGAGCAAGTGAGGCAAAGTAGGCACAAGGCCTAAAACAGTACAGAAACGCTGATGATCACTAGACTGAAGTGCCTTGGTGAATATATCAGCAGTGTTGGCCCGAGTGGCCACGTAAGCAAGACGAAGCTGACCCCGCTGCTGCAGCTCTCGAGCAAGGAAGTAACGCAGAGCGATGTGCTTCGTTCTGTGCTCCAGTCTGTGCTCCTGACACAAGGCAATCATGGCCTTGTTGTCTACGTACAGAACTGGAGACGAACGAGGCCGCTCTCCCAAGTCGGTCAGCAGGTAGGTGAGCCAGCGTAACTCCTGTGCAGCCATGGCCCCTTCGTAGATCTCAACCTCACTACTAGAACTGAGAACTGAAGACGAGCGGGTAGACCGCCAAGAAACAGAGCCGGAGCCAAGGCTGAAAGTGTAACCTTGTGACGACCGCTGCGTAGCCAAGTCGTCAACCCAAGAAGCGTCTGCGTGTCCAGTGAGGACAACTAGACCCCGTCCTCCAAGCACGAGCCACATGCCCGATGTACTGCACAAGTAGCGCAACACCCTCTTAGCAGCCTCCCAGTGCTCTGGTCGGTGTCTCTTGGGCGCAACGTAGCGTTCCAGGATGCTAATAAGGTAGGCAAGGTCAGGTCGAGTGCAGGTCATCAGGTACATGAGGCAGCCCACAAGCTCTGTATATGGGCCACTCGGCTCTACGGACTCGTCCGAAGGTGGAGCTGAGAGCGAGTGACCGGTAGGCAGAGGAGTGGACTGTGGCGAGCAGTACCGGAAGCCGAAGCGCTGAAGGACCTGGTGCACCATGTGTGACTGAGTTAGGGTGATGGTGCACCGTGCTCTGTCCCGAGTGATTTGCAAGCCAAGATAGCTGCGCAGCTCACCCAGGTCAGTGCATGTGTCTCTCTTCTGCAGCTCCGACTTCACAAGGGCCAGTGCCTCAGTGTCAGCAGTGGCAAAGACCAAGTCATCGACGTACACGAGGACGTAGAACGGTGGCAGCGAAGTGTCGGTGCGTAGAAACAGCGACGGGTCAGTAGTCGAAGGAGCAAACCCAAGAGCCGCAAGCGTCGTCCTGAGTGTGTCGTGCCACTCGCGAGGCGCGTGGCGGAGACCGTAGACTGGCCGCCGGAGGCTCCACTGGGTAACTGCAGGAAACGACCCTGTGAAGCCAGGTGGGCGGCGCAGCCAGATCTCCTCGTGCAGGTTGCCCTGTAAGAAAGCTGTGCTGAAGTCAAGAGAGTGCAGCTCGTCGTCACGCTGAGCGGCAACATGCAGCAGAACACAAAGAGTGGTCATCTTCGGGGTAAGGGAGAAGGTCTGGAAGAAGTCAACTCCCTGTCGTTGACTGAAGCCTCGTGCAACGTAACGCACCTTGAAGACAAACGGAGAACCCGGCGGCCGCTTCACCCTGAAAATCCACATGCCATCGACTATGTTCGCCCCAGAAGGGGGAACTGAGTCAACGTAGGTGCCTGTTGACTTCTAGGATGCCATCTCTGCGTCCATGGCTGTCTGCCACTGAGAGGAGTAGGGACCCGTAATCGCCTCTCCGTAAGAGCGCGGGGTCGGGATGTCTGATGCATCCGGGTCTCCTTCAGGTGCAAGCAGCATGGCCACGAGATGAGGTATAGTAGATGCAAGACACTCAAAGTCCTCCTGCCTTTCCTCAAAGACGTCCATGCGTAGAGCACACTCACCCCGACGGACGGAGGACAGTCAGACTCAGACTCAGCAACAAGACTAGTGGCGTAGTCGAGACGACATGCGGTAGCAAAATCAACAAGCTCACCAACTAGGGCAGACGCAGCAGTGGATTCAAATGAAGGGTCTGTAACAGCAGTGGCTAGAAGACGAGGGATAGTAGGACTGGCAGCACGAGTTAAGTCAGACTCAGGGTCAGGAACAGCAGGAAGAGAGGACGTAGGAGGAGGCGACAGGGGAACTCGCAGTGGAACAGAGGAAGGACGAAGTACCATAATGTGAGTGCCGGGGACAGGAGGAGGACGCGGACGAGGAACACGACGACCAGTGCGAACAGCGTGAACAGGCGAGGCAGGACGAGACTCAGGCTCACGACGCTCTGTAAAAGAGTATGGCTGTAACTATGGCTGCGACTAGTGAGGCGGTGGACTAAGTAAGCTAGGAGGAAGGCCAGTGGAAGACGGGAGACTAAGAACCTGGCGAAGGACCGAGTCAGGTGGTGGCAGAAACGATAGAAGTGGCGGAACGAAAAATGGTCGCCGCTGCACAGTGCCTCTAGCACCAGTACCGCCAGCTCCGGCACCCCCAGCGCCAGCACCTCCAGCTCCAAGGTCTCCAGCTCCAGCGCCTCCAGCTCCAGTTCCTCTAGCGCCAGCACCTTCAGCGCCGGGGTCTCCAGCTCCAGGGCCTCGAGCTCCAGCGCCTCCAGCGCCAGTGTCTCCAGGTCCAGCGCATCCAGCGCCAGTGCCTCCAGCACCAGTACCGCCAGCTCCAGCACCCCCAAAGCCAGCACCTCCAGCTCGAGGGTCTCTAGCTCCAGCTCCTCTAGCGCCAGTGCCACCAACACCACCAGCTACAGTTACCCTAGTACGAGCACCTCCAGGACCAGCAGCTCTAGCACCTCCGGTACCTCTAGCTCCAGCAGTAACTCCAGCACCTCCAGGGCTAGAAGCTCCAGCGCCTCCAGCTCCAGTGCCTCCAGCTCCAATGCCTCTAGCTCTAGGGTCTCCAACTCCGGAGTCTCCAACACCACCAGCTCCGGGAGCTCTAGTACCCCTAGTACGAGCACCTCCATGACTAGTAGCTCCAGCACCTCCAGCTCCACCGCCTCCAGCGGGAGAGCCTCCAGCTCCTGCAGCACGACTCCTAAGGCGTGTGCGCTGAGCAAACCACTCGCGCAGCTACTGCGGTGAGAGAGGCTCCCGCCTAGGAGACAGTCGTGGCGAGGCACCCGCAGGACCTCCAGCAGACGCAGTACCCCGAGGCTCAGCACCCCTAGACTCCGCACCCTCAGACTCAACAACCCCAGGCTCCGCACCCTCAGGCTCAGTACCCCCAGGCTCCG